GCAGTATTCAAAGTGCGTCCGATGTATGCTCTGCAGCCAGAACCCTGGCCAGGTCTGCGTAATGTTGAGTAGCGGATGGGTAACAGGTTCGTGGGGAACAATATTATGAGATATCTGACAATTGCCCTAGACAAAAAGCTGCTTAAAAGGTGCTTGGTATGTAAGAGGGAGGAGAGACGGGCGTTTGGCAGGCTTTTCAGTGCAGTCATTGGCTTTTGGGGAGGATCCTTCTCTGAGGGCTGAAATAACACCACGTTGTGCTCTTCATGTACCACAAACTTTACACATCGGCTGTTAAAGCTGCAGCACAGACCAAAAAAAAAAAAAAAAGGATTTGACAGTGAAAGTTGACTCTAACAGAGAAAAAGCACGTTAGATTTAGAGCACTGTCATTGTAATGTAAAATCTAATATTACCCAGAAATAGGTATCTGAGCAGATAATTTGCTTATTACTAACAGTTACTTGTTCACTTGGAGACCTTTTCTGGAATAGGTTTTGATTATATGAACTGATATAAAGCTTTCCCTGTTAGCTGAAAGTTAATACTGCAAAGCTGAAAGAGTTAATACTTGTGAAAGCATACAGTCCTAAGCCAAAATGGAGAGGGAGCAGGGGAAGAGCCCTCCAAAATTCAGACCCTCGACATCTGAACTGGAGTTAATACCGGGCCAGCACTGAAATCATATAGACTGAAACACAGGAGGGAAGGCCTGCTCAGACTGCCGAAAATCTTGCCCTTAAGTTACGTGGTATGAAACAGCAAATGGTAGGTGGTTACAGTAGGCACCTGCCTCACACAGCCCTGGCACCTGGAGATTCAGCAGACTCAAGACATTGCCTTTGGCTTCTGGAACAGGCAAAACCACGGGTTTTATAGACAGTGCTGTGCCACGCACCACAGTGGTTTGATTACACGTGTGATAACATAGGGAATTCTTCTCCAAGGGCTCTACTTGCTTTGTGCTGATGCTCAAAGGAGTTTTGCCATCAGTTTCAGCAGAAGCAAGTTCGGCTTTCTGAGGGACCTGGGGGTGGTGGCTGTGCGTGTTGGTCTGCCACAGTCCTCTGAGACACCTTTGGCCCCTCTCTCTCAGGCTGGGATGCTGATGTTGATCACATAGTGTGTGTCACTCCTACTGAGCTAATAGTAGGTATCTGCAGAGTTTCTTATCTGGGTCAAGACTATTGTTTGAATTCTATATTAATAGCACTTTTCAGGAAAAGTAATGTGTTACCGCTATAAAGTTTTGCTTGTCTGTCAGATTGAGAAGTCTCCTGTATGGTGAAAGAAAGGAAGGAAAGAAAAAAATCATGAAATCCTAGGAAATTGACTTCTTTTTCTTTTGATGGACTGATTTTCCATACCCACAGAGAGTGAATCAGTCCTCCACTGACAGTAGACTGTGCTATAACTTTCACTAAAATAAGCTAGACAATAAATGGAGCCTTTTTTGTAATATTCCAAGTTCTGGAGGCTCTGAAAAAGTTGCTGGGAATGCATTCCTTCTCCCCAGGATATAGTAAATGTTGAATTAATGTTTATTTACCTCTCTGCTTTGAATTGGTTAATTCTATGCGAGTTATTTGTGGGTGGGAGAAGAGGAGGATATGTAAAATACATCATAATCAGTTCTTTAATACATTTTTAATTTTCAGCACAGACATACTGCTATGCTAAAAATGACTCTTTATTCTAAAAGATGAGAAAATAGATTGATAGTATCTATTTCTAAAGGGATTTTTCTTGCAATAACAAAATGTGAGTTTTATACTTCCAACCTAATCTGAATTATTTCCAACTCCTTCTTCAAAGAAAGTTCGAGTATTTAAATCTATCAAAATAAATTTGCTTAATGCCCTAGAGAATATCATATCTTCAGTTGTAAAACGGTCATAAATGTTAAAAAATTAAAGCGATTTGAACCATCAAAGAATATTAACAAGTGAAACCAAATTTCATCATTTCAGAACTACTATGTATTTTATGCAGATATATTTTATCCTATAATGCAAATATAGAAAATATGTAATGATTTTGGCAAAAATTAATCTAATTATGTATTTGAACAGTTTGCAAGGGTACCAAATAATGTATTTCTTCCTTACCTTACTGAAATTTTGTGACCTTTCTGCTATCAAACATTTACATTTCTGCATCTTTTCTCTGCACACCCGCCTGTCTACAGAATTCTAAATTCTGTAGATAACTCAGGGCAGAGACAAAATGCTTAGCATTACCCAAAAAAATAAATTAAGAACACTTTCTTTAAAAGCACTTTGGTTTCTGGATTGCACTTTTCGTTCATCTTGAATTCCTCAAGCAACATGAGTCCAAGGAGCTCGGTAATGTGGCAGATGTAGGAACAGAAGTAAGTTGTGCAGTTATCCTTCAAAATGAAGAGCACTCCATCATCCATGTTACTTATTTCTGCTGTTTTCATTTACTAGTTTTATTTTCTTTTTCTGTGTTACTAATACGTTCCTGTACCACCAAATAGCACAGAGGCAGAGATGAAAACAAGACTGATATTTGAGGCTAATTTCAGTACTTGACGTGGTGCAATGAGTTGCTAACTTCAGCCGAAGCCTGGACCAGACCAAGGCACTGACTGCGGCTCCCAGTACAAACACTGTCTTTTGGGCACTTCTTTGTTTATGAGCTCCCGTGTTTCGAATGTCCCAAAAGGTGTCCCTGATCCTACGAGCTGAACTATGTAGACTGTAATGCAGGTGCTGCTGATGACTCTGAGTTTCGGGTTAAAAAGCTGCAGAAATACTACGTATAAAAGTGCTTTGGTGCCTTCTGTTGATTGCCTTTGCGCCTGCAGCAAGGTGAAGATAAGGTCTGAGAAATTACATGCAGAACTGACATGCTTACTTAAACATCCTTTCTCGGTAGTTTTGCATTGGGGCTGGTTTTTGTTCATTTGTGCATCAGATTTCCTGTATGGATTCCCATAAAGGTTTTTGGTTTAATCTGTTGAGAAAATAGGGATTTTTCTTGTTGACATACTTCCTTTCCCCGTTTTAGTAAGGCAATAAAGCATATTTCAGTGGGTTTGTCTTGCATTCCGAGACACAGAAAGATGTGTGCAACCCCTGAAACAGTCATAAAACGTAGAAGGGGCACGTATTTGTAAAGGGATGAAAAAGTTACTAACTTAGGACCTGTTGGAATAGAAATGCATAGAAAAGCCAAATAAAATTGGTGTGAAACTTTCACTAACTGAAGTGTCATTTAGTAGGAGAAGGTTTTCTGCTCTGCTTAATTTTTAGTTATGTCCTGTGGCAATATCTGGCAATAACAGTATGATTGAGAAATATGTATTAGTGTAGCTGTAAACACGTTTAAAGATTATTAAAAAAAAAAACCCCAAAGAATTCTTAAAAATACATGTCCAGTATCTCTTATGGTGTGCGGCAACACGATGTTCATATCCTTTGTAGATTAGAAATTAGTCCATAGCTTTATTTCCAAATGTCCAAAATTGTGAAGCATAGGAGATAAAACTCTTTCAGAGCTTAGAATTTCACCTTCAGTCTCTTAGGGTACGTGACTAAAAGGAATTAATTTCGAGGTGGTTCAACAAGCCCAGTCAAACTGGATAAACTGGTAATATTGAGTGAATGGTCATGCTATTGTCAATAGACTGGAAGTGCTGAACAATACTTGTGATTTTAGGATCCGTTTCTCAGTAAGGTACAGAACTCAATTTAGCAAAAACCCCTTTTAAATTGTCTATTATTGTTTTCCCTCACTGGGGTAGCTTGAAAACTCTGTGGTCACATGGCAGTTGTGCCATGTGGACAGGACAGAAAGAATTACGAGTCACTGTTGGCAACTTAGGTGGTGTGTTTTCCTTGGTTTATATTGTAAAAGCTGTTTTTCCTCCTATTTTATAATGATAGCCAGAGAGGCTGGAGCTTGAATGCATTTTGTTCATTGCAGATTGTCCGTTAAAAAAAAAAATTCCAGAACCAAAAAGATTTTATACCAAGAGCTAATCCTAGGAGGTCTGGGGATAGTATTCTGTTAAAGAAGGTAAATGAATTCTTGCTGTACAGAGCTTGTACGGAATGATTTGGGGGGGTTTTTTGTTGTTAGTCATGTTAATTGTTGTAGGTCTTTCATGTAGTATCTCTGAGCCTGAAATTCCTCTTTCCTGAGTTTCACCTGCTTTTTGAAATGAATGAGCACTGACTGTGTCATCGAGTCTGTAGCAACAAACTACGCATGCAGGAATCCGCCATTCAACTCTGGGTGCTTTAGTGTGGAAAATTCACTCACAAGTAATTTTGAAGAAGTGCAAGTACAGTCACCCAAATGTTCACAGCAATTTTAAGTTGTAACTTCAATTCCAAATGAGCCCGACATATTTGATCTTAAAAAAAATAAAAAAGTTAGTTTTTCAGATTGTAAGATGTAAATGTAAATGAAAACACACCGCCCTACCATCCCCGAAATCTTAGAAATTAAAATTGTTCTATCAGTGTTTTATATGTAACCTTTCCTCTGCAAATGTTTGTGCCTCACTCTTCTTCCTGCCCCACCACAAACGCCCAGAAAAGCACACGGCTGCAAGTGCCAGGCACTGGTTTCTTTCGAACTCTGAGTCGGCGCCGAGTCGTGTTCGGCGGGTCGCAGCGCAATCTGTCAGACCAGTTGTGGTCTGCATCCCCTGTTCGTCTCTACACTGACGCATCCAGTCATTGCAAGCGTTTTACAACTGGAATGGGGTTATTCATGCTT